TTCCGCCTGCAATTTAGTTTTTTTGTGACAATTTGGTACGGTTTGCCCCACGGGTCGTTGTCTATTTCATTTAATAGCTCCGTCCAGCAGAGGTTTTTGCTATTGTTGATGGCGTGTTTTAGTTCCTGTCTGCATGTATGTATGTATGTATGTATGTATGTATGTATGTATGTATGTATGTATGTGCGCCGCAAGGGCGCACATTTCTATTCGTTTTATGTGTGCGTATGTTCTTGGTTGATACGAACACACAGACGCCGTGAGGTTAAAAGTACCATGATTAGATGTCACGGGTTGCAGGGGTTTATGTCCCGACAGAGAACATGTGCGGAATAAGCTCAGTGCGAGCGTAGTCGCTGTTTCTGCAGTGACCAGGACTGGGAGGTGCTAGACTGACGGTGTTGCAACTTTTAACATACTAGCTAAGTCAAATTCAGATGCGATCATAAATTATACCGACAGGCTGCTCTGATGGGTATTTTTCCATGATTTCTCAGATCAATACCAGACAAATGCCTGCACAGTATCGTTATAGTCAGGCCCAGAACCCCGTGTGGTTTTTTCCTTCCTCATCCTTGTCCTGCACCTTGCCCTGACTTCGTTGGCGGTGAGAATTTCTACTAATAAACATATAAGAAATTACAATGAGTACGGTCGCCAGGGACCGAATGTTTCATGTAGCAATTCGAAAATATTTTTTTAAATTCAATCAAATTCGAGGTTCAGCCTGACAATTTACCAATGTTCCGTTTCTCATTTGGCTATACTGCGACGATGCTCACTACTCCTCTTTTTTATATTTACCCTCATTTATTCTATTTAGTTGGCGGCTCGGTTTCATTCGTTTATTTGGGTGGTGGTGTACTTACGAATCTCAGGGCTACTTCCTTCTCTCTTTCTCGTGGACTGAAAACATTCCGCTAGTACGAGAGTTCGACTGGTGAATGCTTGGATATATGTTAGGAACTTTTACTATTCTTTCTTGTGGTTAATTTTGAATAAATACGTTTCTGAATTAGTATTTCATTGACATTAAGTGTCGGCTGCTAATTTGTTTATTATCATTTAACTTTTGTTTCTTTTCTGAAAAAAATTGACAATACTATATATTTATTTTCTTTGATTATTTCTAGCTAATGATGGCCATCGTACTTTATACCTAATTCTAGCAATCTTTTTTTATGTAACATTTTTGGCTTCGAACGCTGCAAAGTCTTTTCTGTGCATATATAATATACTTTCCTGTTCGCTTAGCGCTGTTCATTTAGCGGTGAAAAGAAATATGCATCGACAAAGAAATTTCCTTCCCGCATTTTTTAAAGTTACACACTCAGTATATCTGTCCATGTATTTCTACCGTTCGAGTCCTGAATGACTTACTAATTGTTCACTGTTTTTAGTATTCTGAAAAACAGACTGTAATAATTTGATTTAAATTCGTAGTACTTAAGAAATTCTATTGTAAGGGGACCAACCTTGCCATAAAATGCTACTTTGAGGTTAGCAAACCCAACAATACAATACTCCACGAAGTTGCAAATGAAGCATAACATCCTAAATGTCACGCCCTGATATTGTCGCAAAAACTTAATATTAATAAAATTACTCTCCTTGCTCCCAAATTCAATATTAATCACTTCTTCATCCAGGCAAAAAAATCAAAATTTCATCAAAAATTCCAACAATGAATTCTAGATAATTAAAATTAATGATTATTTCAATTACATAAATATTTTCATCAAGTTTTTGTTCCGTGAAGCACCAGCAAGATTGCAATAAAATATGAGCAACACAGCAACAATTGCAAGATTACAACGCAGCAACACTGCAAGATTGCAATAATATTTTAGAAGGGATGATTTAAATTATCTGGAGGCAAAATTATCTACTTCTAGATAAAGTGAAATATTGAATATTCCACTTGTTTGAAAATAGAATAGTACCGTAGCGGACAATCAATATTTATACAATGTCCTGGTGTGCCGAAGTGAAAACAGTTTTCCACGGAGTTTTAAGACATAATTTTCGAGGCGCGTGGTTCTATGGAACTATTTTTCCGTAGGCCACCCGGCCTTTATTCCAGCACAGATTCCGAATGAAGAAGGCGCCGTGCGTTGTTGCAGAGCGCGCAGGACGAGGTGATGCGCCTGGCGTTCAAGCTGCACCTGAAGCCGCACGCCGACCGCCTGCCTCTCAGCGACGAGGAGGCGGTGGAGCACATGTGCGCCCACCGCGACGCCTTCATGGGCAACGAGGACATCACGCGCGAGCTGGCGCCCTGCCCGCTGTCGCTGCTGCACGGCTCCTCCTTCCCGCTCAACAACGCCATGGTGCTGCCCCGGAGCAGCCCCTACGCCTTCCTCTTCAACAACGTGTGAGTGCATCCTTCCCCCCTCAACAACGCCATAGCGCTGCCCAGGCGCAGCCCCTACGCCTTCCTCTTCAACAACGTGTGAGTGCTTCCTTCCCCGTCAACAGCGCCATAGCGCTGCTCAGTAGT